GGTGCCATATTGTCCTGGCCTCAGAAGATGCCTTTTGATAAAGCCATAACCATACTTGTTTTGGCAAGAATCGGTAGTCCTTTGTTTCATGTCCTGTCTGTCCTGTTTGTCAGCAGTTGATTCAAGGATACTTTGTTGTCCAGTGGCTAACTTTGCCTCAGTGAAAGTTAACTCCATATGCAGTTTCTTCAATGCCCATATTTTCTCTGAAGTAGATTGGTACTGCCAGGAGCTGACATGTCTCAGAGTCATAACAAAAAGAAACATTTTCTAAGTTATTAAAACATTTTAAATGCCATATTCTGTAGATCTCTGAAGGGTTTGTCCCTTTTCTTCAGTTGTCTCATTTGTCCAGTGTTTTTCAGATTCCTTAACCTTCATTCTCCTAAAAGACAAAAACAAAAACCTTTCCCCAAGACTAATTTTGGGGATGTTCCTTTTTGGCAAGTTATTATCTGATTAAATGAAAAGGCATGTGTTACTGGTATAAGTTAGTTTAAATTGGATGTTCATGCTGATTGATGAACTATCACCTCCTCTCATTAAGAGGTCTCTCTTGTTCAAATTGAAACTTTATCAATTTTGATGATACCCACAGCTTATCTTCTTCTGTAGAAACAAAAGCAAAACCTCGTCCCCAATATAACACATATCCTGATTTCCATTCTGAGGTCCTCACATCCTTAAAGTATATAGGCTGATTTAATTCTGTAGTTTTTTCTATTATCCAATGTCTCTTTGCAACTGTTGTTCCTTTCTCATTGGCACTGAGAAAATTCAAAGTTAATAGAGCATTATGCAGTCTATTTCTGGGGGTTTTGTTACCCCTTTCTGCTTATTTAGCATATCCTTTAGAGTTCTGTTTGATCTTTCTATAACTGCTTGACCTGTAGGATTATAGGGTATACCAGTAATATGCTTTATATTGTAATAAGCAAAAATCTGTTTCATTTTAACAGAGACATATGATGGAGCATTGTCAGTATTGATTTCTGCAGGTATACACATGATGGCCATAACTTCTAGCAAATGAGTGATTACAGAATCAGCTTTTTCAGAACTCAAAGAAGTTGCCCATTGAAATCCTGAATAAATATTGATGGTATGGTATACATATTTCAATTTTCCAAATTCTGCAAAGGGAAACACATCCATTTGCCAGATTTCATTGCTCTGAGTACCCTTTGGGCTATATCCTGCTGGTAATGATGTTTGATTGTAGAAGGAACAAGTAGGACATTTCTTTACTATTTCTTTGGTTTTTGCCAGGTATAGAAAAATCCTTTTTTAAACCTTTGCTATTGACATGATGTTTTTTATGAAATTCTGAGGCCTCCAGCACATTTCCTATCAATAATTTGTCAATCTCATCATTGCCTTGTGCTAGAGGGCCTGGCAGACCAGTATGGGATCGGTTGTGAGTTATATATAAAGGATGACTCCTTTTCCTGATTGTATCTTGTAACTGAATAGTGAAGTTAATTCTGAAGCATCAGGGATAAATTCTGCAGTCTCAATATGTAATACTACTCTTTTAGCATACTGAGAGTCAGTTACTATGTTGAGAGGTTCTGAAAATTCCTTTAATATGAACAGAATAGCATACAATTCTGATTTTTGAACTGAATTATAAGGACTTTGAACCACTTTACTTAAATTTTCTGATTTGTAACCTGCCTTTCCTTGTTTGTTGGCATCTGTATAAAATGTACAAACTCCAGATATGGGTTTTTCCCATACAATTCAAGGCAAGATCCAATCAGCTCTCTTTATAAGATCAATTCTATTACTTTTGGGATATTTGCTGTTAATTTCTCCAAAAAAATTACTGCAAGTTCTTTGCCAAGGTTCACTTTCTGTCCATAATTTTTCAATGTCCTCCTTAGTTAAAGGTATGACAATTTCTGCTGGGTTTATTCCTGCTAATTGACGAAGTTTCAATTACCTTTCCAAATCAAGTCAGAGATTTTTTCCACATAAGTTTTTATTTTTTTATTTGGTTTATTTGGTAAAAATATCCATTCCAATATAATATCTTCCCTCTGCATTAATATTCCTGTAGGAGAATGCCTAGAAGGTAAAATAACCAAAATGCAATTCAGCTTTGCATCAATACAATCCACGTGCCCTTCATGTACTTTCTTTTCTACCAAGGCCAATTCATTCTCAGCTTCAGGTGATAATTCTCTTGGACTATTTAAGTCCTTGTCACCTCCTAAGGTTTTGAACAAATTATGCAGTTCATCATTTTTTACCTCAACAATAGTTTGTAGATGATAAATATCTCCAAATAATCTTTGAAAGTCATTAAGAGTCTGAGGTCTATCTCTCTTAATTTGCACCTTTTGGGGTCTAATTTTTTGTAGCTCTATTTTATATCCTAAATAATTAATAGAATCTCCTCTTTGTATCTTTTCAGGAGCAATTTGTAATCCCCAGCAAGACAAAATTTTCTTTACTTAGTCAAACATTCTAAAGTATCTGCATTTGAGTCAGTTATTAAAATATCATCCATATAATGATAAATTATAGATTTAGGAAATTTTTTATGCACCACTTCCAATGGCTGTCATACAAAATATAGGCACAGAATTGGGCTATTCAACATTCCCTGTGGGAGGACTCTCCATTGAAATCTTTTAACCGGTTGAGAATTATTGTAAGTAGGCACTGTGAAAGCAAATCTTTCTCTGTCTTTTTCTTGTAAGGGTGTTGAAAAGAAACAGTCTTTTAAATCAATAACTATGAGAGGCCATCCTTTTGGTAACAGAGTAGGCAAAGGAATTCCAGATTGTAGAGAGCCCATTGGCTGAATTACTTTGTTAATTGCTCTAAGGTCTTTTACCCTTCTCCGTTTACCAGATTTCTTTTAAATAACAAATACAGGAGAATTCCAAGGGCTGGTTGATTCTTCAATATGCTGAGCATTTAACTGTTCTTCTACCAGCTCTTCTAAAGCCTGGAGTTTCTCTGTTGTTAAAGGCCATTGCTGAACCCTTACAGGCTTGTCTGTTAACCATTCTAAAGGTAGAGCTGTTGGTGTCTTTGGAAGATCATCAGTTGTTGTGCCCTGTTCTTGTATAATATGGATGGCTGTTGACCACTCATTAGAATAATGCCTTCTAATATTTCTCTCAGAAACATGTGCTAGTTTATGATTTGTTTCTGAGATTGGAGGGATGTGAATCTGAGTATTCCATTGTTGCAACAAGTCTCAACCCCACAGGTTCATAGCTATGTTAGCCACATATGGTTTTAGTTTTCCCCTCTGTCCTTCTGGACCTATACATTCAAGCCATCTTGCACTCCGTTTTACTTGAGATTATGTCCCAATTCCTAACAGGTGAACGTTTACCTCCTGAAGAGGCCAAGTTGGATGCCAAAATTCTGGTGCAATTATGGTAATGTCCACACCTGTGTCTACCAGACCAGACAACAAAACACCATTTATTTTTATTGTTAATTTTGGTCTTTGTTCATTAGTAGAAGTTTGCCAAAAATTTTTCTTTATGTTTTTTCCTGAATTTTCTATTCTGTCTGTTTCATCATCCTGACCAGCATGATTTATTCAATAGGAACTTGGTTATTTAATTGCTCTGAGTAGGGTTTTCCTCTATGATTGCAGGAAAGGTTTGAACTGGATTAGCTGTGGGGGCCTGCCTGAGGCCCCTCTGGGAGTTTCCTGAAAACTGAGGCAAAGGATTACCTTGCCTGTCTCTTGTTGATCTACATTTTGTGATCCAGTGTTTTCCCTTACCATACCTTATGCATACTCTGGAAGGAAGGGGCATTCTGTTGCCATTGTTCCTTGAAGAAACATTGTTTCTAGGAATGACCTGTTTACAGTCCCTTTTCAAATGTCTTTGCTTTCCAGATGCAAAACTTCTAACATTCCTCAAACCTTTTGAAATTGCTTCTCCTACCCACATATCATCATGGTCATGAGCCTCAGCATTAACTGTATCTCTAATCCAATCTTCCAAGAGTGCAGATCTTACCTTTAACAGCCTGATTATTCTCTTGCACGTTGCATTTGCATTCTCAAAAGCCAAAGATTCGATTATTATCTGACTGGCTTCTAAATTCGGGACCATTCTCTTTACTGCTGAAGTCAATCTTTGTAAGAATTCTGTGAGAGATTCTTTTGGGCCCTGTATAATCTTTGTAAATGACTCAGATTTTTGCCTGGTTCTTCAACTCTGTCCCATGCATTCAATGCTGCTGTTTAACATAGAATTAGGGTTTGGACATCATATAAACATTGTGTTTGTACTGAAGCATATTGGCCTTCTCCAACAAGCTGATCCTGGAAGACTTGTGTTCCTTTATCCCTCCATTGTTTTTCTATGTTTTTAGCTTCCTCCTTGAACCAGATTTGCCACTGGAGCTTTTGTCCAGGTTCCAGAACAGCCTGTGCCAGCTTCCGCCTGTCCTGTGGTAGAATCCTATTATAAGTTGACCAGGAATTTAACATTTGCTTTACATATGGGGAATGCATGCCACAAGATGCTATTGCCTCCTTAAATCTTTGTAAGTCTAACATTTGAATTGGAATCCAAGTATTTTGTCCATTCTCTGCACCAGGTAGCTGCTGTACGGCTATCGGATAAATTAAGGGTGATTGTGTGAAAACAGGCTTTCTTTCTCTAACCTTATGATCCTATTTTGAAACAACTTCACTGTTAATTTCTTCTGTCTGAATTTGAATTTCTCTATGATTCATTTTTACAGGTTTAACAGGTTTTTCTAAAACTGTTATCCTGGCACTTAAATTGACTATCTTTTTAAATAGTAAAATGAGGATATGAAAAGTAATAAACTGCATAATTTGATCAATATTGATCTTCTCATATAGTTGTTCCATTGTCAGACTGCCTAAAATTTCAAACAAAGCCCAATTTTCTTCCAATGTACACATAAAACCCACCTTTTTTAAATGTGGAAAAAATTCTTTTTTTAAATAGTTTCCTTTAAAATATTTGATATCTTAATGGACTTACCAAGTCTGTGTAGAACAGTAGAAATCTGAGGGAATTTCAAAACAGCCACCTATTCTCCGATTTGTGAATCCAGAGAGAGAGAGAGAGAGAGAGAGAGAGAGAATACAAGAAAGTGTAGCCACAAGTTCTGGCTAAAAGCTTAAATCCAGCCACGTGTTCCCACTTGAGCTGAGTCAAGCCTGGGCTCTGGCTTCCTTAAGCTCTGACCACATGCATGCAGGGGCCCTGTTCAGCAGGGCAGGCCTGAGTTGTTTGTAGCACCGGCTTTAAGCAAGTAGCTGCAGCTGCGTGTAACCGCTTGGGGCTACGGTCAATCCAGCCTGAGACTAAGCCTACCTGGGCCCCAGCTAGGGACCCGGGCCACCCAGGCCAGAAACCAGACCTGCCACCAAGCCAAGCCAAGTGGTTTTTAATGGATTTTTGTCATGTTGGGCGCCAAATGTAGATGTAACCAACCATCTTATTAAATAAGGAACACAGAACCAATGCAAAGAAGAAAGCCAAGAGGTCAGAGCTAAGAGCTCAAAACCTTACCCTTCCTCTTGCTGTGGTCCTACCTCTCAGAAAGAGAGCTACTTCCTGTGTTTTTGTCTTTATAAAGACTTTCTGTTCTGCCTTCTCATTGGTTGTAAACCCAACCACATGACCGCCTCGTCACTGCCTGTCTGTACAGAACTCCAGGTCTTCTATGGTTGGTATTGAGATTAAAGGCATGTGTCTTCAATGCTGGTTGTATCCTTGAACACACAGAGATCTACCTAGCTCTGCCTACCAAGTGCTGGGATTAAAGGCATGCACCACCACTGCCCAGCTTTCCTATGACTTGCTAATAGCTCTGACCTCCGGGCAACTTTATTTATTAACATACAAATAACATTTTTGTATAAATAAAATATCACCATAGACAGCTTTGGTTATGAAAGCAAAAAGAAGAGTGTAAGTGACATTCTGAAAGTGGAAGGCAGCGAAGTTCTGATTTACCCAAAACTGAGTGTATTGTGACAACATGTTGATAGACCTTGGTAATTTATTTATTTATTTATTCATCTATCTATCTATCTATCTTACTATCTATCTATTTATTTAATTTATTTTGTGATTACCTATTCTTAAAATATTATGGCATATGTGGCGGCATAGGGTAGGGAAAGATGTCCTCCCCACCTCCATCTCTTGCTGTCTGAAGCAGGTGAGGGAGCTGGTCCAGGGTCTTGAGAGAGTGAGAGAACTAGCCCAGTACCTCACCAGTGGCAGTACATAGGAGAATGGACCCTGCACCCTGACTGGGCAAAACAGGAGAGCTGGCCCTGGTGGTATAAGTGCAGGTGAGCAGGATCTTAACCTGAGAACTGGCCTTCCCGCTTGCCACAGGCTGCATTGGACAAGATAGCCTAGCCAGTGCTAGAGAGTTCACATGGGTAGTGATGATGAAGTAAAGCTGGTGGTCTGATTAACACAAGTACCATCCTGGCCCAGAACCAGGGCTATGAGTTAACCCTCTCCAACCTTCACTGCATCTATGAACTGTTGGAGTATGTGAAGGAGATGGACCTTAAGACCAAAACTGTAGGATCTCCATGATACCAGATAACAACAGGAAATACAGAAGGAACACCAGAGAGTAGATTATCAATAGCGTATCAAAAGCCAGAGGCCTTGAACCAGACCAATGACTCAGAGCAATGAAACTTACACATAAGGATGAATAGACTAAAGGGTAAACTGTGTGAACACATACATATACCCAAAAAGAAATAACAGTATCAGCATCTATACCCCTAAGGCAGAAGAAGGAATGGACAGACTGTAAGAGTAAGGGGAATTAGAGTTTGCTCTGACGTGTGTGTCCTAGGAGTTTCAAAAGATGCCTCTACAAAGTCTCACCAACATGGTTGCTTAAACATGGCTGAATAAGTAAGACAGTGATAGACATTCAAATGTGGACAAGAAAATCTCAGGAGTCCTCAGTCTTACAAAAAGTACTACAGCCAATTGAAGAATGCTGAGAGTAGGAGACTAGTCTTCCTTAGAGTTGATCACACCAATTAGTTATCCAATATCAAATTGTCAGCCCTGAAAACATAAGTAACATACTGTTGTATGTTGTATTTAGTGAATGAGTGTGTGTGTGTGTGTGTGTGTGTGTGTGTGTGTGTGTAGCAAATATAAATTTGAAAGAGAACAAGGTGATACATGGGAAAGAATAATATCAGGCAAGAAATTGTCAGTCTTGATGGTTCCAATATGAATGATCTAAGCTTTGAAGCATCACGAATGTACACAGAAACTAGTAGTTGTCCTTTGCATGTGATTCTAGTTCATTGACAGAATTTGTAGCATGTCAACAGTAACAGCAGCAATCCCAGTGTTTATGAAAGTATTTCTCCCTTCATCAGTCCTCCTGTAATTTAAAGTTAATATAATTATAAAAATCATTATTACAAAAGAATTTTAAAAGTACAAATTATTGGCTGAATAGATCATACATAATTATTGATTTTTTTGTTTCCTAAATAATTTGAAGTCCTTATCTTGAAATGTGAGCTGGGTACCCAAATTTCTCTGTCCTACTATGTTTGATTCATTGTTTCAGTATAAATGTTACAATGTTTATCTTGTAGTCCTCAACACTCTAGAAGAAGTATGCTGTGGGGCTGTTCTTTTTTTCTCTACTCATTTATATTAGTTACAAAACAAAAACAAAATCCTTACCCTGAGCCAAAACAAGAGATTGAATAATCTTTAAAATAAAGAGTGATTTCCTGAGAACAGCCTTGTATGTCAAAACTATTTGACTTTACATTGGCATTCAACTCTTCTATAATATCCAGTGTGTGTCTAACAATAACTGATGGACTCTCTTGTGATTTGCCCCATGATGCATAGTCTGCCTCCCTCACTGATGGATTGTGCGTATTCATGCCTTCCTCCCCTGGTGGCTAGGTACACACTGTTAATTAGTCCTTCTGAAGTATGGCAGGTTTCTTCAAATACAAGAGGCATGTGCTACACAATGGAAGTCACTCTATCACCCTTGCCATCCCCAGTGGTGTCCAGTGCTCCCCTCTCACATGTCTTTTCAATTACATTCGTGGTACAGTACTGAAAATGGCTTTGTGGTAAGCCTTGACCTTGAAAAAGTCAGGCTTACACAAATCCACATACAAATAACATGCATGCTTGCGTCTACAAGCTTTTTAGCATTACTGTGGAAAGTGGTGGTGCAAAATGAACAGTTTCTTATCTCTGATCACAATATGTAACAGTTCCAAGGGCTGTTCAAAATAATATCCTGGCTTTTCTTGGCTTCAATGAGCTCTGCTTTCCTGAAATAATAAAACACCTGCCCATCTGCACTGTCCCAGTTAAGAGGAACAGGAGTTGTTTGCCTTAAGTAGTCTAAAGAATCTAAGTGTTTTGAGAGTAGGCAAGAGAATGACAACCTGAGCTGAAAATCTTTTTAATGGTTGCCTTAATTTGTGTACTGGATATTTTTATGAATAGAAAGACAGAAAGGTAATTGAGGATGTCAGGGTTTTTAACAGTTGAGATCCCAGACAAAAGGCTCCCTTCTCCACAGGGCTCTTAAGAATTTAAATAAATCATGTAAGTTTTCCCCATTTTTGGAATTCAGTTAAAATGTGGACAATTATTCTAATTCATTTTTAAAATTGCTTCCTAATGTTGACTTAATTATCTAATTTTATTTACTTTTAACAGTTAATTTCTATAAGTCTACTTTCATGGGTCCTTGTTTTATAGCACTTTACTATGTATTTAGAAATAAGATCTTTAGAGCTGTTTTTGGATCAACATGTTCTTAGTACTCAATTAAATTTTATTTGTAAAATAAAGTGAGAAAAAGTCAATTGTCTTCAACAACCAGAGAAAGAAAAGCAAGAAAAAGGAACAGGTTGCTGTGGGATGGTCTGTATGTGCTCTGATTGGTCAATAAATAAAACACTGATTGGCCAGTGGCCAGGCAGGAAGTATAGGCAGGACTAACAGAGAGGAGAATTGAGAGAACAAGAAGGTGGAGGGAGTCACTGCCAGCCGCCACCATGACAAGCAGCATGTGAAGATGCCGGTAAGCCACGAGCTATGTGGCAAGGTATAGATTTATGGAAATGGATTAATTTAAGCTATAAGGACAGTTAGTAAGAAGCCTGCCACGGCCATACAGTTTGTAACCAATATAAGTTTCTGTGTTTACTTGGTTGGGTCTGAGCAGCTGTAGGACTGGCAGGTGAGAGAGATTTGCCCTGACTGTGGGCCAGGCAGGAAAACTCTAGCTACAACAGTTCTCAGACTGCCTCTGTTCTTAGTGATGAAACACATCAAGTGAAAAGGAACTCCACAGACATGCTTGCAGAAATGTTCAGTGTCTCCCTGTCTTTAGCAAAACAAAGCACAAAAGGCTACACCAAACTCAGGAATAAAAAAAATTCTTTGTAGAAGATAATTTTCCTAAAATACAACTGGAAAGCATAGAAAAAATTATCTTAAAATAGCTTCAACACAAAGTAAATCAAAATAAACCTGGTTCAATCTCTGGAACCATGTAAACCAGGCATGGTTATGCACACTACAGGCTTGGAGACAGGAGGACTAGCGGCACATTGAGATTGAAGTCAGCCTGGGATACACACAATTCCATTAAAATAAATAAGTAATGAAATAAAACAAGATAAAATAGTGGCAATGAGGATGACATTACAGTGTGTCTATTGCATGCAGCAACTGACATTCTAAGATGCAAGTCTCCCTGCTGGCTTTCCCATCTGAAGCAGTGTCTCAGAGATGATGCAAGGTTCACCATACTGCTGTGTTGCAGACCTTAGCATGGTCATCAATAGCACAGTGTTCCATCCTACTTTGTTCTTAAATCTGTAAGAAGTCCTCTGATTTTCATCTAGACATAAGTATGTATTTCCCCTCCATGACTTGGCATGCTCTTTCTTATCTTTCCTAGAAGGACAATGGAACTTTTACCTTGAAGGCTCTGAATGTACTACAACAGTTCAACATGAATTTTGAGTGACATTTCCC